TCACCCCCAAAATTCGAAGACTAATATGTTTTAAGTCTTGCTTTCTGTCATGCTTCGATTGATTTGTCCTTAATATTATTATAAAAATTCTTGAGCATCGCGAGGCGAAATCTGACCGTTCTGTCGGGCATCGGGAATTCGAGAAAGGGAATCGCGATAAAGGCAGAACGACAGAAAGCTGTGTTCGCGTAATCCCCGGTGACTGGGAGGACGTTCTGTCATCGCTCGGCTGTACGTTCTATCCTCCGCCATGCATCAAGCTTAAAGCTCCGTCGCTGGGAAAGCTGTTCCGCCCGTCAAGACGTTCCCCGACGCTTGGTCCCGTTAATTTCGCGATATCGCGTTTTAAGACGAGCGATACAATTCGTCTGGGGGATTATGCTCGACGCGATAATGCTCGTCTGGGACGACGTAGGGGGAGGAGGGGCAGGGATCGATCGCGGAGGTTCCACAGAATTTGCGGCCAAAGGTTGCCTCGTCCCCTGCAACGTGGATACCTTGTGACGTTAACGATTGTTAGAGATTTCCCAGCGTTTAGCTCCACAAAGTACCGCGAAAATTTTGTCGAAATTATCCGGAACCGCCAAAGTGACGAAATTACGATGTTTCGTAGAGTTTCTATGGCGAAGACACTTCCATAAAGACGAATTATTACAGTCGTAAATTTCTATTTTACCAATAATCTAATAAAAAGTCAAGCGTTCGCAATGAGATAACGTTTCTCTTCTGTTTATATTCTCTCGTATTATTTTCTTATTACAATTCTGATTCGGATATAAAGAAGCAAAATTAGGAAAATCTATGCTTAATTCCGTTGAAAAATAATTTGTCTGTAAATAGAGGGTTCGAAAGTTTAATAAACACTGTGTTACGATCGAAGCACATCGTGTTTTAACGCGATGCTGTCGGTTCTAAATGTATGTCGAGCAGCGATAAATTAGAAACACCAATTAGGGCAGTTTGATCAAGCCGCGAAGTCCACAATGAAGTTCCAACGACTAACGTTTGTCAAACCTCTGTCTGACGAGTTACGTAGCCGTTGCAACAGTTCGGTGCAAACAAATTGTAGTTTCATTAAATCCGGGACTAACTTCACCGCTGGGGATCAGACGAATCTCGCCACGAGCGCTTAAAGGATCGTCAAGGGATCCAAAATGCCTTGTTCCGTAAACCCGCTCCTCCAGAACAAATATACGCTGTCCGATGTTCACGATATGTCGATCGAGGAAACGAATAAATCACGTCGATTGATATAAACAGACGATCTATGGAAATATTCAACTTTCGAGTTTATTTAAGTGGAACCCTTTCGTAATTTTTCTGTAGGGTAGTTTACTATTTTTATGAGGATCCAGGCGATAAAAAATACTAAAATTCGACGTTTACATCCCTTTAATGTTCCAAACTCTCAAGCAAAGTACATTTGACGCAATCTAGGATAAAAATGGCCGATCGCGTTCTAGAATCAGTTTCAGTTAGCGTTGGCCTAAATTTTAAGCTCGATTGCATCCGAAAGGCTTTAGTGTCGCTCGTGTCTTTGTTTTATCGGACTCGCGACAGTTTTGAAAAATGTTACGCGGTCGCGTGTACTTTCGCGACAGAACTAGATTAAAGCAGAGACGGAGCTCGATAGGGAACCCGAGGTTCTCGCGACGAATTCCTGGCGGTATTCGAGCTTTGCCGGGGCCGAGGCACGAATCTTACGAATCTCGTGCTTGCAGGCACTTTATCTTCAGCGCTGGTGCTTACGTATATTGCTCGTTTGCATCGGGCCACCGCGAGTTTCATTTCGCGAACGCACGAAGAGATGATTCCGCTTCGAAACGCGCAAATAATTACGAAACGAACGCCCGGGCTTTCCCGGTCCCTTAAAATAACCGTTGTTTGCGGAGCTCTGGAGAAACACAAACTCCCGTGCCACTGTTTGCAATGATTTAGCGGGCCGGTGGTCGGTGGAAAAATTGTTGAACAAACGTCTCCAAACCGACCCGCCGTATGATTAGAATAACAGGCGCTGTTTCACGGACGAGCGAAATCAAATTGCGTTTATTAAAATCGGAATTTCTTTAAACAAATAAATCTTTGCTTACTGAAAAAGGCCACTCAGCGAGAGCAAATTTCTAGGCAAGACACTCACAATTTGAAACTTCGACTAGTTTTACCTCACGTGATTTTCCTATTTCATATTCTTAAAGTTTCCACTTTTCAAATTTCTAATAATTTTGCACCGTGAAAAGGGGTCCATCTGGTTCGAATTTTGTTTTCTCAATTCCTCGAGAGATACCTGTTCTATCGTTGGAATTTCTTTAAAAAATTCTGTCTCAGGCCGTGGAAAAAGTCTGCGCGCGCCGAGATAACGGATAACGAGATGCAAATTCCCAGTGCACGAGGATATGTCCGTTAATTCGTCATACTATCGATCGTCATTGGGGCGATTGTGCATCGCTATGATCGTTCCGCGTGACCCAATGAATAAATCCCGCTTGGACGTGATTCACGACATCGAGATATCCGTGCGTGCAATCTGGGTGGTCTTTAGTTATAGATGAAACACCTTCTATCGAACGTTTTTTGAATAATTTCCAATTCATTAAAAAATAACATACGCGAGCGATGGGGCTCGTCTAAACGACAGAAAATCTGAAATTTCACTCCAAGTAATCTGGCAAAATTCAAACATTTATTCCCATTTTTCTGTTGTTTCTTATTTGTACGCAATATTGGAAACCCAACTCCGTTCGAGGATCAAGCTGTTCTTATTCCGCGTGTTTGGGGTCGGATAAAACGGGGAAAGATCGTACAGTCGCCCCCGATTATCTGCGCTTTCGAGACTTATCCGACCTCGCGATGCGTTCCCAGCGTTTATATTTCAACGATCGCGAAAACAAACGGCCCGTCGCCGTGCACGAAATAAATATCCGATAGACGAAACTGGTAACAGTTTCCATTTTTACCCCCGTGGAAAACACAACGATCGATCTGGAAGACTGGAAGATATCGCCGGAGGTAATAATAAGATTTTATGCGTGTTTAGTACAAGCCATTCTATTCGAAAGAAACGAATACGCGAGTAACAGGTGGATCTTTTCGATGTATGAAATTACGGAAAATAAAACCTCCACGATTGAAAAATAAATTACAACATATTTCCCTCCTGGCTTTGCTGCATCGATCGGTTAACCAGCTTTTTTATACCGTATGGAACACGTTGGCTGATACTTTTTATTTGGAAAATTGTTCACCGCGAATCATGTTTGTATTTAATCCTTATCGTGTTTGGCGGGGCTCTGTTATTTTTTAATACAGTTGCAAAATAATATTTATCGCACGGCGTGTTCGGATACATTCGTACTATCAGTGTCAATGGAATAACTATTGAAATATATAACTCGAAAACTCTAATTCTGTATTTTTTTTTTTATTTTTAGATATCAATTTACTGAAAAACAATCTCTGTTACTCTGTGTATCGTTCATAGTGTACATATAATAATTTATTTTAGGGAGATCCAAACAAACACATTCATTTTACATTCGTTTGTAAAATAGTATGTACTGATAGTTTGCATTTAAACTCAAGCTGGCTTATTCGAGTAGAAATATTATTAGGAGTACCTTTCTATATTTACACATTCATTTATCTATTTCTCGATAGAAAACTCCCAAGGAGGATTGAAAACGTGAACTATTAAATCGAGTCGTAAAATGCAATGCACCGATAAAAGTGGGAAGATTGTTCCACGTATATCCACGGTTATCCATTCGAACGTCGATAAACATTGCGTTACGCAGCGATTTACGAATTCTAAGTAAAAGGGCAATTGTTTCCCTCCACGCTGTTGACACGCTCGTACGACACACGGATTGCGTGTTTGCAAACGTTTTTACGTCTATGGAACGTACGAGCGCAAAACACCGGCTGCAACGCGAGAAATGAAAACGGTTTTGCGGTGGGCGGCTGTATTTTCAGTAAACAAAGATCATCGTCGGTTACGATCGATGGCGAAACAAGAACCCGAAACGGTCGTGATCGAATTCCGATTAATGCAGATTACAATGCCCGACGCGGGGGAAACATAATCCGAATCAATCGGTAAAATATAGTGGTTATTAAATTTACCTACGTTCATGGGGTCCGCGATAGATAGCTGCGTACAACGTTACGCCCCGTGTAAACAATTTTCGCGAAATTACAGTTTACCGTGTTAACGTAGAAACGAATACACGGTCGTTCGGGAACCGATCGCCGATTGCTCTAGATTTCGAAACGATATCAATTTTAGCGAAAATCAACCAACAGATTTCGTCGAAAGTAAACACGCATTACGGGTCTCGTATCTCGTTTAATAAATTCGACGATAGCAAATTTTTTTTTGGGCCACTGATACTTGTTAAAAACGAAATTGCATATTATCATCGTTGACTACTCTAAATATCATATAAGTATTTAAACCGATGTCAAAATAAATACAATGTACGAGAGCATGAAATTCGAATGATCTTGAGTATCAAAAATAGTGAAGGTTCGTGCAACATCGTGACAACAAAAGTAACATAGCCACTTGTAAAAAGAATATGAACGATCCCTAATTCTCGACATATAGGGCTCAGAAAACTGTGTATGCGACTCGAAAGCACAGATAGAAAAGATGGAGGATAAGGTAAAAACAATATGGTCGATACAATTTCGTCCGAGAATCGTAGAGACACGCAAGCTTGCGTTTTCGAGCCGGCCGCGCAGTCGAGAGAAATCCCCCTACAGTAATTAAACATCACCCTATCTCGAACGAAGTCTTATTTCATCAGTTTCTCGAGCGTCGCCGATGAATTCCGGCGCGACTCGAGCGTTGGCTCTCATCCAACCTGATATCCACCCTTGCGGGGGGTGCTAGCCGATGCCAACGAACCCTTCCCGCGAGATACTTTCGCCCCCCTGCCGCCCAGAAAGCAGGGCCAGGCGCGATACGCCACGGGGAACGCGGCTAAATGAAAATCACTCACCGAGCTGACATCGATCGCCACCCCTGCCTAGGGGGCATTGACACCTCTGCCTGAAGGACCCTTGCTTCCGTCTAGGAGCCACGTCGTTCCCTTCGAGATCCATCGACATCGAGGCGTCGTCGTCCGCGGCGTCGGAGTCGTCGTTGGCCGCCAGATCGACGTCGTCGCCGCGTGATTGCTCTATATAGCAATTACCAGCGGGCCCGCAATCCAGCGAGCATGCTGGCTCCGTGCTCACTATACTCTCCATCGTCGACGGGAGCTTCTGCTCCAGATTCGGACCCTGAACAGAGAACAAACGACTTCCTAAGCCTATGAGCCTTCTAAAGGAACTCGTAAGATCTAGAAGCTCGAAACGATTGATTCCCAGCTACCTTTTTGCGGTCATTAGGTATCGAACTTTTTCAGATTCGAATAATTGACTGACCTACGTACTAGACATAGTGATTTTAATGAAAATTCACCCCCAAAGTTTGGGACTTGGGACGATATATTCGATGTAAATTGGAATGTTATACGATTTTTAACCTGTGCAGTCTCCAAACGAACCATTTTTCTGTTAATATAAAGTCAGTCAGATAACAATTGCTTAGAAGTGACAAGGTGAATGGTTTGAGGATGTTTGAGTGAGAACATTTTAACAAATTTGTTTCAAAGATTATTTAACCCCCCCACCAGGATGGTCCTTCGATCCTCAAAGATTTCGTTCCAGTTTGACCCACTTTGCGTCGATTTCCAAGTAGCTTTTAATTCCCCAATGATCTGATAGTCTCTTTTCTCGATACCCTGCTAATTTAACCACTTGTACCCACCTCACGAGCAATCAAACCCAATAATCTGCGCAGTCATGTATTACTCCCCTTCCTGCACGACTTATCTTTCTTATGTGAAGCCATTTCGCGTCTTTGTGTTCCAATTCTTCGCCAGGATGGTCTTCACGGGTCTTCATTGTTCGGTTGATCAGAGAACCAGATACTCTATCTGTGCTCCTTCAGACCCTTCACGAAGCTACCAATACTCGTCGACGAAGACGTAGACACTCTCTGGATAGTTTTGGCTCGTATTGACCGATCCGGTGGTTCTTTTTCGGGGTTATCGCGAGATTCGGGGGAAACAACGAGCCCCCCAGGTGGCTGAAGAACCGACCAGACCTCGCACACAGGGACCTGTTGCTCGCGTCGCGACGTTTTTATTCGGAGACCTTTTGAATAAGAGCGCAGGATGTCCGGGGCCGCGTGGGAACCGGCCATATTTTAAAACAACCGCGATTTTCTGGGGAATACACGTCCCTTTTGTTCACGTATGCGGTGTCCTTAATTGCGGCGCGGAGGAAACCATTTTTTGGGTTTTACGTTAAGACGTTCCTTTATGCTTTGGGCAAAAAACGAGCAACGCTTGGAATTTTTTTTTACGAGAAAACTACCCTTTGTATTAAACTCTCAATTTTTTTATCGATTACCATATGTACGAAGACATTGCATAAATTTTTTTATGTAGTTCGCTTTGATACTAAAGGAATTATTAATTCGTCCAGTAATTGGGAACAGAGAAAATTCTAAAATTGAATTTAAATTCAGATAAAATTTACAAATTTACTTATTAAAAATTATTTACGGTTAAATAGTGCAATAAAGATTTAATTGCAGACAAAGTATCCAACGATGATTGTTTTAGTTTATTTTTGGAGCGTGCAATCGCCCTGTGTGTTCTTTCATTTGCAAGTTGGCGACATTTCCAATTCCTATTTCAGTAAGTTGGCCGTATTATTCGGCGAGTAAAGTCGGGGGAAAATTCTCTACGCGAATAACGATCGGTGAATACGGGTTTCAGCGAATTGGATATGGAAGTGACAGAGGTTCCAGTGAATTGCAGACTAGAACGAAAACGGATGGCGTAGTTCGCGTCCGTAGCAACGGAAAATTATAGAGTAACCGAAATCCAGATTGTAACCACGCTCGATGGATATCTTCAGCAATTTTCCCATTGTTCCCATTAACTTCCAAATTACGCAACGTGCAATCCGTTTCGTGTTTTGGGGAACTCAGGAAGTGTGTCGAATGGAAATCATTTGTCTTTCATTGTCAGTGTCGTGGAATTCTGCTTTAAAATGATCGAGGAAAAACATTTTCCATATAATGAAATTTTTTCTGACAAATCTTTAGGAGTTAGTTTATTACGTTATCATTTTTCTGAAATATTTGTAGAAAGAATCGTATCTACAGTTTATTTAGAGTTAATAACAGAATACTCGGACAAAGTTTGATTGAAATCCCTTTGGTGATTCGGGGGAAAATGGGTCACGAGGTACGACAATTTTCCATATAGATAGAGCTCGATTCTCGGTTCCTTCGAAGTTGAAATAAAAATTTCCCCCCCTCTCGGTGCAAAAAAAAAAAATGTGTCGACCAGAAATCAATACCCAAAAATTGCGAACGAAATTGCGTTTAAACGCTTCACGCTAAATTGAGAATTGTTCAAACTTCGGGTAGATGCGTCTGGTTTTGGGGATCGATCATTAACAGTCGCGGCGGATGAATTTGACAAATTGAAGGGTGGAAAATAGTGTTTAACGATCGGAAATGACAAATATTCCACCATTCTCTATTTTCCAACTGTAGAATTCACGGTGAAATAAAAAAATAGGGTCAAACGTTGAATCAAATATTATATTATGAATGACTCAATTTTTAAAGAATTTTCTAATAAAAATTCACTACTGTATATGTGTCTGTAGGTTGGTAAATCTCGTCCCGAGAAAAGCGAGAATAATCTTCAGTACGAGTAAAAATAAATTAAGTAGAAATATCGTGGCTCTTAACACTCTGTGTAAGGTCGCGTGAATTAACTTAACAAACAACGTGCAACAACGGGGGTACGGAATGGAATATCTGCGCGGAGCTTGATGAAAACCTGGCCCAGAAATAAAAAATTAAAACTGCTGGAAAGAGGATCTTGTATTCCACAACTGCACCGAGTTAAATGGCCGGTCTCCTCGGGGTATTTAATTAAATGGACATACTCGACCACGGTGTGTCAAGTTATTTCGAAAGTAACGCACGTAGGATGAACGCCGGACTAATTAAAAAATACCACGTAAACATATCCCTTACAAAACAAAACTGATTTTCCGAAACGTCTAAGCGTGTACTTAATCACTGGCAATTCGCGAGAAAAATTTAACCATAATTAGGCGTACGAAAACATTAATTAAAATAGTAAAGATTAAAGCTATAAAATTTTTGTTCTCAATAATTCAATTATTCCATGTTCAATAAAAACGAAGAAAATTTGATCTAAAATTGTTGGATGAAATACTGTGAAAAATTATTTCTGTAATGGAGAATAAATTTCTGTACGACGTTCCCATTCGTCACATCGATTATCGAAATTTTTTTAGGCTGTTAGAAGCTTATTCATGTCGGTGCGCCCCATATGGCGCACGAGACAGGGAATGAAACAAGGGAGACAAATCTATACGCATTAGGATTAGTATTCTAACACACAGTATGCACTATGTTAACTATGGTGCATTATTCTGACTTAGTGTTCCACATCGCAGCTGCTCCAGACTCTGAATCATTCTTGTATCAGAAACTATAGGACCCTACTGTTCTGAGAAAGGAAGATTTATCCCAAAATGAGCCACAAATAACACTAGAAAGTGAATAGATTCAATTTTTTCGAAGAATTAAAATAGAAATCTTTCTTAACCCAGCATTAAATACGATCTGATGAACATGTCTGACTATCACTCGATATTTCTACTAGAATTTATATTCATATAATTGACAATGGTATTATTCACTTTACATCTCTGTTACCATCTCCTAAGTGGACGAAACTTGCCAATAAAATTAACATAAAACCATTGTAAACGTTTAGAAACGCAATGGTAAGTAGAAATAAGTGATAATGGTCAGACAGAGCAGTTAAAGTAAAAATCTGATCGTGGTAGGCTTTCTTTTCGATAGAACTAAACTTTAATAACGACTTTTGCATTGATAATAGGTACTGGCAGTCGAGTGAAAGACACGAAATCGATTAAAACAAATAAAATCGTCGCCAGTGTTCGCAAACACAGAAAAAGCAAGGGTCGATGGTTGTATCGGTTAAAATTCGTTCGAGTGGTCGAGGTTTTACATTAATGAAACCGTGCGTCGTCGTCCAATCAGCGCGGGCGTGTTCGAGCGACGGTGACGTTTGTTTTACGGGTTTTAAAAATAAGAGGTCACGTACCTGGGACGTAGCCCGTAACTCGATTCGATCGAGGGGAACGCCGGTCTCGTCGTTGGCCCTCGTGGAATTCGTCGTTGCGTTCTCCGGCGGCGGGTCCAAGTGTATCGTGAACGACGCTCCGCGCATATAAAGAATGTCCTCGACCGCATCCTCGTCGTCGTCCGTGTCCTTGCTTAATTCGTCGTTCTCAACGTCCTCGATTAGCTCGCCTAGCTCGCTGGTAGACGGGAACGTGGAGTTCAGCTCTGGAACAGATTGTGCGCTCTAAAGAAAATTGCACCGTCGAACTGATTCCCGTGGCTGAAATAGCAATTCAGGGGGGGGGGGCGAATAAAATGGCCACTGTTACCGTTTATCCTTTATAAACCCCGCGCACTGTTTGCCTTCTGAAGGCAATTATACGGATACCATCGCCGGAAAACTTCGATTCTCAGACAGAAATTGAAGGACAGATTTTGTTAAATATTTAGTAATTCAATTTATTAGTGACCCCATGCTATATTTTAGAAATAGTTATAACAATGGTTATAGGATATAAATCGAAAGGTGAATTTTGGTAAATATTGTACGGTCTAGTTTATGCTCGAGCAAACTAACGTGGATCCCATACTATATTTTAGAAATAGCTTTACCAAAATAAATTAAAAAAAATAATTACTCTCCTGATTGCATTTTATAAATACGAGTCTATTTATACATGTGATCGACTGTGAATAAATATTATACAGGGGAGGAAGAATTATTTTAAGAACAAAGAAACGAAATAAAGTTTAAAACCTGAAGCAGCCACGGTGTGGGGGAGGGCAAGGATTAAAACAGCAACGATTTAGGTCTGGGCTCTCGACCCGACGAAATTAGTATTTTAGTGGAACCGAAGGGCGCATCTGTCGGCGCAAGGCTTATTAAATTTTAAGTGGTCGGATTACCCGGTTGTCCTCGCCTCCCATCGGCGGTTCTCCTCCTAGACCGTTTATATTGTGCATGATAAATCGACGGAAACACCGACGGACGAGGTATCCCCGTCGGAAAGAAAGGAGAACGGTCGAGGGCCGAGCGTTTCAACCGCCCCGAAGCAGCCGGCAATTAAGCACTAATTGCTACAGTCGTCCGGCCGCGGCGTCTCGGGAAAGAATCATTCCAATGGCTACTCGACGTCGAAATCACGGGCAGCCTCGATTGGCCCGCGATCGAACAGAATGTCGAGTGCTGGGCGGATGAGAAACCGACTATCGAGGACGAAGTGAAAAGAATGGCGAATATAAAGCTTCTGCTTCTCAGCGTATAAAAATTTCCCACAATATTTCAATTTAATTTGTATTTATTGCCTCTATATGGCCCGCAGTATCAGCATTTACAAGATTAATATATATTTTAACTTAATCTCGACGAATATAGCTTTGATCGCCGATTTAAGCTCTAAAAAAGGATTTGGTTCCATCGATACGATAAAACTGCAGTCTTTTATCTACCAAATTTTTGATCGACCGCCAGTCGATTGGAGAATCCGAAAAACTAAAACGCGTACGATTGTTCGAAACTGCGAGGCAAGAGATCAGTTCGGTAGGAATGAATAATTCTACCCAATTATTAACATCGTCTCTAATTTACGATTATCCGTTCATCAAACTCCAAGGAACTCGACGGGCGCTCGAACGAGTCTCGCGGCGCCGGCCATCTGGTAAACGACACTTCATAATTGCGCGATATTTAATGAAACCGCGGTCTGTGTTTCAATAAATAAAACGGACGTCGGGAGTCGCGCCGTAGCCGGCCCCCCGGAATTAATGAGAACCCGCGACGGACACGTTAATTAAAACAGATTGTTATTTTCAATTTCCGACCGGCTACGTTCGTTTCGCCGCGAACCAATTTACTTAAGGGGGTAATCTGATAATATTAGACAACAGAGAAATCCATACTCTCGCGCTTTCTTCGAAGTATCGAGTCAAATTCGAAAACTGAAAAATTACAAGACTCTGGATACTTTTGAAACTTCCAATTTTCGTCGAAACGGATAATTATATTTGGATATTTGTCTGATATTCGAATTTTATTTCCGGTCGTTGAACGTTCGAACAGCGCGCCGAACAATTCCAGCCTCATTTCGCGCCATCGGATCGCGAATCGAGCGCGAAACTTTTTATCGCCGCCCTTTCAACTCGGCTCGCTAATGAACGAGTATCGATTCCACGACCTTATTGACAGGACCTACGCTTCGAGTCCTCGAACGTTCCCCTCGCGCTTTATCGTTCGTGATGAATGGTTCTTGGAAATAATACCGCAAGCACTTTTCTTTCTTCCGCACACAAAGGCGGATCGATTAACGTTACAGCGCCTGAATAATTGTTTCAACATTCGTTATTCCCTTTGCAACGGCCTCGGGGCCGAAATTAATTCTCCGGGAATCCTTTATCAGTTTCGTCTGGCGTTTTAAGCGCATTAATGGACGGACAAATTAACCCTTACTTTACCTTAAAATTACTGTTCCATCGAAAAGTACCTTGGAAATTTTTGCAAATATTTATTAAAGCTAACACGATGTTCTAAACCTTTCTATATTTTATTGAAGGTTTGCAAAAGACAGAACAAATTTATTAAAACTTGTAAAAAATCGAGTAAGGTAGAATTAACGAGAAGTCCATTAAAAAGAAATTCTATTATATTATGAAAATTATGAATATTATTTATTTCGTATTAAATAGTTTTTTACAAACAATAGTGAAACTCTTCTTACATACAGAATAAACAATATTCGTCTTCTTCTACGTATTTATCGCGCCAAAGACATTTTGGAAACCCACATACAGGCTTTTGATATGATGGATCGTGACAATGACCGATTGGGGAAATTAGAAGCGTAAGTTCTCTCGGGGAAAACGATCGTTACGGAAAAATCGCGACTTCCCGTCGACCCACGAAAACGAAATTCAATTTCCGACGCTCCTTTCCGTCGACAAATTCTATCCATTGAATTTGTTTCCGAGTTGTTATTAAATCGAACGGTAAAACCAATAGAAACAATAAAATCGGAATAACGGAAACCTGTTCGTTCGTACAGAATCGACGAGAGGCAAACTGCCGTTTCAGTCCAACCGCCTGTAACTTTATTGTACGTCCGCCGTCAGTTTCGATAATAATCGTTCCGCGCGAGAAGGCGCGTGGAGAAACGGATGAAATATCGACAGCTGGCATTCTCCCGCGAAGAATCCGATCTGCGTGGAATTACAATAATGTCCTTCTACCGGTGACAAATCGCGCCCCTCGAACGGAGAACAAAGTCTCACGGAGTCAACCGTAGACACTCCAAAGAGAATTTCATTTCGAGTCTAGACGTCTCGAGTCTCTACATTACGCACCAGGTCCAAATTATTGAAATAAAAACATTTGAAATATTTAAAATAATCTGTTCGAACGCACGAAATTATTGATCACTTTTTTGGGAACAACGTGGCCACGGGAACGAGAGGAATCTGGTTGGAGGGTGGCCACCCCCTATGTAGGAAGACTGGAGTTCGAAACTTGGCGCGAACGGTGCCATCGAACGGCTCGGAATTAAGGATAATTCTCTTTGTCGCTAATTGTCACGTGTGTCGTCCGTGTTTCCAGCTGTAATAAGACCGGTGTCTCGAGATCGTGGAACTACGGTCGAAACGGGGCGTTCCGGTTAAAACTAACGCCAGTAGACGTGCACGGCACGAGAATCGTTTTATCGAACGAAATTTCGTCAAACGTGCTCGACGGGCTGCATCGTCGTTTTGTAAATTACTCTACGTTGTTTCGGGTAATGGAATTTATTCGGAAACATCGAGGATCGTTGATTTCGACGTATCATTATTTACGAATGGAGTTCCAAGTGGGTTCGAGCGAAACGCGAGATTGGAAATATAACGTCCGGCGTCGAAAAACGGTTTTGAAAAATATAGAAAAGTTTGTAGCGCTCGTCGAACGAAAACAAACGAAACACGGCTGGATTTCCGCGTTTCTGATGGCGCGAATGGAAATCGCGAATTCCGGGATCCGTCCGTTATCTTCGAATAACTTTCCACAAAATTATACAATCAAGATTGTAATTTTTGTCGAACGAAAAACATATCGGAAAATTATTCGTTGTTCGAAGTCTTTGTCAAATATTTATTCTAACCTATTTTCATCAAAATAATAATCAACCTTTTGCTCCCTTTTTGAAACGCGCATACGAACGATACCGTATTTATATATTTAGTTTTTATTTTAAATATTGTAACAGAAGAGACCGCGAACGCGAATGAAATATTCAGAATTAAATTTCCAAGCGATAAGCGCAACAAAATTATTTAGACGATACGAGTATATAATTTATTTCGAACAGAATAATTTCTAAAGAGATCGATGCACGTGTCTCGACATTATATATACGTACGTTGAATTTAATTAATTAGACTTTGGGGGCTTGATAGGACGAGGAAACTAGTTTTGGCATGGAAGACGGGATTCGATACGGATTACATCGATCAGCTGATACTGGGCTGTACAAGTAACAAAAATTCTAATTAAATTACCGAGCAAATAAAGAGTATAAAATATGTCGTGAGATTGGTTTTATTTCGGAATTTTTCTTCGAAGACAACAGGGAATTTAATTTTCTTTAAACGTACGGTTAATTGAAACGTCCCTGACTTCTCTCCGATCGACCGGTTCTTTTCTCCGACAGTGCAGTTCTAACGATCCCATTGACCCGTTTCGAGCCTCATACATTCGACTTTTTCAACCGAACACTTAATTTATAAATTGAAATCCGACACCCTCCACGCGCGAATGTGTAAGACAGTTTTAGGGCGCGAAGTGGGATGTTGAGTTTTGAGTGTTCGTTCACGCCGGTGAAACGAGAAAAGTGCCGGAGAATTAAAGACTGTATCGACGCCCAAGGATTTTAAAGTAGCGTCATTCTTCGTTTAAATGTCGCTCGAAAAAGGGAAACAAGTTTTTCGTAAGAAATAAAAATGTCTGACCATCGCTCGATATTTCTACTAAAATTTATATTTATATCATTAACAGTGATATTCAATTTTTTCAAAGAATTAAAATAGAAATCTTCCTTGACCCAGCATTAAATACGATCTGGTGAACATGTCTGACTATTACTCGATATTTCTACTAGAATTTATATTTATATTATTAACAGTAGTATTATTCCTTTTACGTCTCTGTTACTATCCCCTAACTGGTCGAAACTTGCTAAAAATATTAACATAAAACCATTGTAAAC